AGAGCGATACCCACGGGAAAAGGGGGGGATTAGGCCAGGTTCCTGTGCAGCTCCGGATTTGGGAAGCTCCGCAGCGGCTCCGGCTGCGCTCAGCTATTCCTGGTGCCCGGGAAGGAGGTTGGCCGGGATGCGGCCGTGTGCGGCTCCAGGGTGCAAGGAGAGCAAAGACGTCCTGCTTGGAACTGTTGAGGTGGCCCTTCAGGATGGCTCATGGGGGTAACACAACCGATGCAAAAGATTCTCCTTGAATTCATCAGCTCAGGACATTTTACAGCGGTGTCAGCGGTCCTGCGGATGCTCCGGCCCTCAGGAATGTCCAACAGCAGCAGGGACCATCCTGCATCTCTCCCAGCTCTGGGAAGGAGCCCATGCGGCTGAGCCCATGTTGAGGTGGCCCTTCAGGATGGCTCATGGGGGTAACACAACCGATGCAAAAGATTCTCCTTGAATTCATCAGCTCAGGACATTTTACAGCGGTGTCAGCGGTCCTGCGGATGCTCCGGCCCTCAGGAATGTCCAACAGCAGCAGGGACCATCCTGCATCTCTCCCAGCTCTGGGAAGGAGCCCATGCGGCTGAGCCCAGTGGGAGGGTTTCCTTTCGGGGCCAGAGAATGGTTGAAATCCCAAGATTTTAAGAGACTGCGGTTGTTCTGGGCTGTCTCTTGCAATTGGAGCCATTTGGGAACGTCCCAGTCACCTCTGAGCACTCGAGAGCTCGGAAATCACTGAAAACGGAAAAAGAACCAAACAGAAAGAGCATTTTAGGAACTCACACAACTCCTGGAGCTGGGACCTGACATAAACATCCAAATAACATGATTATAAGTACATAGCAACTGGCCAAGCTGAAACCCAGCTTCCCTGGAGGCTGCCAGGCTCCTGTGAGCCATTACGGACATTAAAGCAGCTCCATTGCTCCCAGAGAGGAGCATTTCTATGGATCCCACCACACATCTTGCTTTAAGCCATTTCTGAGTAATGGGGCAAGTATCTGCCCTGGGCTCTGAGAGCTGATTTGGGTAATAAACAGGCCCAGAACCCCTCGGCTTGCAGAGCTTGGCTGTAGGGGCGCTGCAAGGCTCCTTTCTGCAGGGCTGCAGGGACCGGCACAGGCCGCTGGGTGGAACAGGATCCTGCGAGATGCTCTTAGGACCTGCGGGATGGAAGCGGAGCGAGCGATCGGAGAGATCTCCGGGTCCAAATAAACAGTAAAGCTGCTCAGGAGGCCGGGAATGGGGGTTAGTTTCGGAACAGCCACATGGAAGCGCCGGGTTGCAGGGTTCTTTTGGGAGTCGCTTGCCAACAACTCGGGAATTTGCTGCCCTCACTGGGGAGGGCTGAGCCGCGGGGCCGGGTGGGTGTCGAGCGGAGCAATCGTCTCCCCCAGCTCTGCGTAATGAAGATGATCATTTAGCAAAAAAGCACCGCGTTTTGCTAAATGCAAGCGGAGATTTTTGGTCTGCAGTGGGAAGTAAATTGCCCCCAGGCAGCAACTCCCTAACCCGGTGCTGCCGACCCGCAGCCGAGGTCACACACCGAGTCCCCTCTCCTGAAACAGCCTCCCCTTCGCTTTGGAGCAGAAATCCCGCAGAAGACACCAGCCCTGCAATTTAACCCTTTATCCCTCCTTCAGCCCAAATCGTCTACGCGATGTTCCCGTCAGGCGGTGCTCAACGTCCCCGCCGGAGGCTCTCTGCAAAGAGGAGGCCAGTGGGGAGACCCGGGGGGGTTTTGATGTCCCCCGGGAGGGTTTCCGTTGTTCCCACTGTCGGCAGGATTTGGGCCTGCCTGTAACCCGGGACTTTCAAATCTCATCCTGCCCCTGCTCAGTGGATGCCCCGTTTCACATCCATCCCTGCGGAGCTGCCAGGGGCCCAGGCTGCAACCCGGGCACCCACCTGCTGAATTGCAGCGGGCAGATTCCTTGGCAAAACCCGGGTACATTCTGGTGGGGGGGATACGGCTTCGAGCCCGGCACGTAGCCCACATCAACCCCGCGAGCAGGAAAAGGGTTAAAGTGGCACCTGCCTGAACGCCGTCCCCTGCGGGAGCATCACTGCATAAGAGGCAGCGGGACCGGGGCTCGTCCTCCGCTGCCGCAGGGGCTGGGGGCAGCGGGATGCGCCCGGCCGAGCGCTGAGGTCTGGCCCCGTGGTCCGGAGGAGCCTGCTGGGAGCGAGGAGGATTTTAGCACCTCGGGCTAAGCACACAGAGCTGGCAGAGAGGGAACGAGGAGCCGCAGCGTTTGCCCAGGACAAAGCGCCCGAGCGGGAGTGTGGACAGACGGCCGGGGGGAGACCCCCGCATCGCCTTCCCAGTGCCCGTCAATCCCGCCCGCAGCTCCGGAGCGCCGGGCGATGATCCCGGAGGATGCCCAGCCCCACCGGGCGCCCCGGCACTCGGGGACACCCGGACGGCTGCTGGCAGCCCCCGGCTCTGCTCTGCCCGGCGCCGCGGCACTGAGATCCCCCTCGGGGCCATGGGGACATCGGGTGGCATCGTGGGGTCCCTGCTCTGCTGCTGCCTCCTCATCTCCGTCCGGGCTCTGGTAAGTCCCTGCGTCTCCTTGTTCCCGGTCCAAAACCCTTATCCTTAAATCCGCCTTGGGAAGGGACTGGAGGGAGTGAAGATGCCTGGGGCACCTTTGTGCGGTGGGTGCGGGGGCAGCCGCACGCTTGGAGCCCAAACCCCATCCTGTTTCGGAGCCGCTTTGGCATCCAGAGGGAGAAACCAGCCGCACTCCATCATCACTCCCTGCTCATCCCCCCGGATGCTCCCGGGAGCTGCTGTGCCTGGGAATGGGGGGACACGGCACCTCCCGCGTCCTCCCCGCTTCGGAGCCGGCTTTGCACCGTGGCACCGCGCAGGGGCCGCTGCTCTGGGGCTCTCGGTTCCTCGGGCACCTCGTGTGAGCGTTTGTTGTTCCCTGCCACGGCCGCTCGCTTCCCTCCCGCAGC